TTTTTTTTTTTTTTTTTTTAAGTAGAGACAGGGTTTCACCGTGTTGGCCAGGATGGTCTCGATTAGACCTCGTGATCCGCCTGCCTCGGCCTCCCAAAGTGCTGGGATTACAGGCGTGAGACACAGCGCCTGGCCGCAATGGTTTCTTAAATGTGACATAAAAAGCATGGGCAAAACCCCAAAAAACAGATAAACTGAATTTCATCAAAATTAAAGACATTTATGCTTCAAAGAACACCAACAAGAAAGTGAAAAAGGTGGCCGGGTGCAGTGACTCATGCCTGTAATCTCAGCACTTTAAGAGGCTGAGGCAGGCAGACTGTTTGAGCCCAAGAGTTCGAGACCAGGCAGGGCAAAAATGGTGAAACCTTGTCTCCTTAAAAAGTACAAAAATTCTGGCTGGGTGCCGTGGCTCACACCTGTAATCCCAGCACTTTAGGAGGCCGAGGTGGGCGGATCATGAGGTCAGGAGATCGAGATCATCCTGGCCAACATGGTGAAACCTTGTCTCCACTAAAATCCAAAAAGTAGCTGGGCATGGTGGTGCGTGCCTGTAATCCCAGGTGGTGGTGCACACCTGGAGTCCCAGCCACCCAGAAGGCTGAGGCAGGAGAATCGCTTGAGCCAGGGAGGTTGAGGCCACAGTGAGTATGACTGCACTACTGCAGTTCAGCCCAGGTGACTGAGCAAGACCTTGTCTCAAAAAATAAATTAAGTAAATTAAATTAAAAAATGGACCGGGCACAGTGGCTCATGCCTGTAATCCCAGCACTTTGGGAGGCCAAGGCACGCAGATCACCTGTGGTGAGGAGTTCAAGACCAGCCTAGCTAACATGGCAAAACCATGTCTCTACTAAGAATGCAGATATTAGCCAGGTGTGGTGGTGCGCACCTGTAATCCCAGCTATTAGGGAGGCTGAGGCAGGAGAATCGCTTGGACCCAGGAGGCAGAGGCTGCAGTAAGCCGAGATCGTACCACTGAACTCCAGCCTGGGCGACAGAGCAAGACACTGTCTCAAAAAAAAAAAAGTCAAAGGAGATTAAGAGACATTTCTACAAAGATTTACAAATGGCCAATAAGCACATGAAAAGATGCTCAGCATCATTAACCATCAGGGAAATACAAAACAAAACCACAATGAGATACCATGTCACATCCACTGGAATGACTGTGATAAATAAGACAGACAATGAATGTAGAGAAAATGAACTCCTCATACACTGCTGGTAGGAATGTCAAAGGGTACAGTCACTTTGGAAATCTGTCTGGTAGTTTATCAAAAGGTTAAATACTGAATAACCACATGACCCAGCAATTCCATCCCTGGATATATACCCAAGAGAATTAAGAACATGACTATACAAAAACTTATACATGGATGTTAATAGAACCATCATTCATAATAGTCAAAAAGCAGAAACAAGCCAAATGTCAACTGACAAACAGATAAACAAAATGTCACATTATTTATACAATGGACTCTTTCTACCATAAAAAAGAACTAAGTACTCATATATACTACAACATAGATGCACCTTGAAGATACATATCACATGATTCCATTTATATTAAACGTCCTGAATAGGCAAACCTATAGAGACAGAAAGTAGATTACTGGTTGCCTTGGCCTAGGGGCAGGGTGGGCAATGGGGAATGACTGTTGATGAGTGAGTATGGAGTTTCTTGTTGGGGTAATGACAGTGTACTGCAATTAAAGAGTAGCAATGCCACTCGTTGCATAGAGGGTAGCCCTGCTCTGCAGAAGCAGTCATGGAGCAGAATTTATGTGGTTTTTCTTTTTTGAGACAGAATCTCAGTCCATCACCCAGGCTGGAGTGCAGTGGCACAATCTTGGCTCACTGAAACCTCTGCCTCCCAGGTTCAAGGAATTTTTATGCCTCCTGAGTAGCTGGGACTACAGGTGTTCACCACCATGCCCAAGTAATTTTTCTTTTTGAGGTGTTTTGCTCCTTATTGTCCTGGCTGAAGTGCAATGGTGCAATCTCAGCTCACTGCAACCTCTGCCTCCAGGGTTCAAGCAATTCTCCTGCCTCAGACTCCCGAGTAGCTGGGATTACAGGGGCATGCCATCACGCTCAGCTAGTTTTGTATTTTTAGTAGAGACGGGGTTTTACCATGTTAGCTAGGCTGGTCTTGAACTCCTGACCTGAGGTGATCCGCACACCTCGACCTCCCAAAGTGCTGGGATTACAGGCATGAACCACTGTGCCCAGCAATTTTTGTATTTTTAGTAGAAATGGGCTTTTACCATGTTGGCCTGGCTAGTCTTGAACTCCTGACTGCAAGTGATCTGCCCACCTCAGCCTCCCAAAGTGCTGGGATTATAGGCATGAGCCACTGCAGCCAGCTGAATTTATTATTTTTTATATATAACAAAAATAGTAGTAATGGTTGCACTTGTGAATACACTAAAAAAAACCACTAAATTATACAGTTTGTAGGATGAAATTTATGATATATGAATTATATCTCAATTTTAAAACATCAACCATAAACCAGAAGTCTCATTAGTCATAAAAAAAGTAATATGCATCGTAACAATGATTAAATACCACAGGATATTATCAACAAATGTTATAGACACTGGATGCGGTGGCATAGTTGTAGTCCCAGCTACTCAGGAGACTATGACAGGAGGATGACTTGAGCCCAGGAATTTGAGGCTGCAGTGAGCTATGATCGTGCTTGTGAATAGTCACTGCACTTCAGCTTAGTCAATATAGTGAGACGGTCTCAAAAAACAAAGTGCTATAGTATCTTCGTTTCTTAGAAACTTTAACAATAGCCGGGCGCGGTGGCTCAAGCCTGTAATCCCAGCACTTTGGGAGGC